TATTTTTATATATTAATATTAGGGATGTGAAACTGACTCATGCTTTCGTGTTCGGACCTAGCTATGACATTCTTTTATTCCGACAGTGAAACGAGAGTCTCAACTACACTAATGACTAGCCTAGCTATGACATTCTTTTCTTAGACCTGAGATAAATCATGAAATAAGAAAATCAAAACCTATGGCTGAAGACATAAAACTAAAAACTGAACAAAAATGAAAATGTAATAAACAAATTAGGCTGTTTTTTTTCCCGAGTTAGATTACCTTGGAGGAACTAGAAAGGAAGTGATAGGCAAACTTTCCCTCCAATCTATATTCATGCATAACCCAATTACTCTTCTCACCCTTGGGCGCTCTTCCCCTGTAGAAAACAAGAGTCTTCTTCATCCCTATAAGGAATCCGGTTCTTGTGCTGTAAATCTCCCGGTCTTTTCCTGTAGCTTTCCAGTATCCAGCCTCTGTAGCTCGATTTGTTCTAAGCCCAGTTGGGTACTTCCTGTCCCTTAAGCTGAAAAAATACCACTCCGTCTCGCCCATTTTGGCCTTCACTGCTCATAAACATATCCAATAAAACAAATAACAATGAATAGAAAAAGCAAGGTCAAATTTTTCATTTGATTCCGTAATGATTAAAGGAATATATATATATATATATATATATAATTTATTTATTTATTTTTTTGAACCTGGGAGTTCCCATGGCTCACACTTGTTGAGGTCGATCTCTGCGATTGCTCTGCAAGTAAAGCTACTGTCGAGCACTTTCTTAAGGAGGTAATGCGTGATGAGCTCCTCATCTGTTGGGTGGAAACGAAAGCCAGGTGGAAGCTGAGATTCATTGTGGTCGAAATGCTGAGTGAAGTTCTCCATCAGCTGGAAGAACAAATCAGGAATTGATGAGAAATCCATAGACAACCGAAAGTGAAAAGAATGGATCACTTTTGAAGAAAGCTTGATGAGAAGACGAGAAAAGCAACAGCTGTACCGAAAACAGACTACAAGTATTTGTTCTAGGTGGTGAATGGAAAAAAAGGCTCCTTGCCGGAAGCTATGATGCATAGAGAAAAATGAAATGAAGAGAAGAAAATGAGGAAGAAATAAAGAGCTGGATTTTGGAACTGGCTTGGGGGACCACTTTATATGGGGGCATTGTAGTTTAATGAGGATACGACGAATCAGGATGTGTCAGGAAAAGGCGTGCTTGGTGTGAAGTAATAGTGCATTATATATTGGGTACCTCTGGCTTCAAATGTAGTAATGGTTTCTCAATGTTTTTCTCTCTCTATCTCCTCTGTTTTGTTCTTATGCTCGCTTCTGTATGGCAGAGCAGCTGTTATTATGCCCATCAGCGGGGCCCGCTTGGGGGAGAGGATGGTTTTGCGGGCGTGCCTGAGAAATTGTGCAGGTATTCTCGCTGTCAGTGGAGAGAGAGGGGGGAACAGAGCGTAGGTTAGGAGGAGAGAGGATGATAAAGAGGGGGGAAAGGGAAGAAAACAGAGCTGATGGAAGGGAGGATTTGAAGTGATCTTCCAGCAGATAAAGCTGCTTCGTATCCAATCTGTCTGAAAA